AAAAAAAAAAAAAAAAAAAAATAGAGATTAAAATAGCCAAGGCAAAAACAAATTTGAAAGCAATGGACAAAGTCTGGAATTGTCTGCAAACAAATTCCAGATTTTGTTTGCAGACAAAATTAAAAGTATTGAACACCTGCATCTTCTCCTGCATGCTGTATGCCTGTAAGACATGGGTAATAACAAAAAATATGGAAAGAAAAATAATAGCATTTGAAAGACACTGTTACAGAAAGATCTTACAAATAGGATGGATGCAGAAAATCACAAATAAACTTTATAATAAAATATATATGAAAAAGAATCTCTTACAAAAAATTATACAACAAAAACTTCAACTTTTTGGACACATTACAAGAATGAATGAAAACAGAAAAATTAAGACTTTAGCCTATGGTATTATGGATGGATCCAACAAATGAGGCAGACCATATAGAGAATGGATTGATGACGTGAAGAAGTGGTGTGGAGTGAATGTATGGGAATTGAGAAAATCGGCAGTGGATAGAGAGAAATGGAAGAAAATAGTGGAAAAGGCATCAGACACCAATGGGCAATGAGCCCAGGGTTGATGATGATGATGATATGTACTCTATAAATAAGCACTTCCCTACTTATGAACATTCAAGTTACAAACTTTCAGACTTATGAACAATTTTACCTTATGCCTAAAATTTAAATTTTAGATGAATTTTGAATTCCATTGCCACTCATGAAGTGGCAAAAAAGTCATCATGAGGAAATACAAGAGATAGAAGTAAACCAACTAGATTATAATTTAAATTAGATTATAATTAAAAAGTTTATTTTAAGAAATTCTTTCTATATAACAAAAAAGTAAATAAATAAATAAAGCTATACTATGAAATAAAACATGATAAAAGAAATATATAAAAATCATTAATTCAATAATAATAAGTTACTATATAAGTTTTTATTTTTGTAAATTTTTTTATAGTAATTTTGTTTGTTGTACATTTTATCTAGTACTTTGTATTGTTGATTTTTTATTAATATTTTGGGTTTTTCTAGTTAAACTGGAGAGACATTATCACCAGTCCTAATTGGACTGTAATAAAGAATAACAATAATAGCAAACAAAAAATATAAATAAAAATTAATTATTTAATCTTTCCATAATTAAAAATTATATTGATGAATATCTAAATCTAGAAAACATTCCAGAAACAAAAATTTTGTTTCTTTCTCATATTAAGCTTAAAATTCTTTATAAAAATTTATATAAAACTTACACGATTTCTTTTTTTAATTCTGTCTTTTAGAAGGGGTACCGGAACATCTAAATATATTATCAAGTGAGGCCGCAAAAGTTCACATAAGGTAGAATCCTGGCATTCGTAATAGTATTCTCGAACTAAAAATGACAACAAATTTTTATTATTAATTTTCAACACTAGTTTATAATAGTTTTTCAAGTAATAGGCAACTTTTTATTAGTGTACTATATAAAAGATGATGCTTCACTGGTAGCATTCAGTAGTTTTTTTCAGAGACAATTGGAGATAAGAAGATGGGATTAATAACCAAGTTTACAGATAAGACAAGACAATTTTCAGTACCTTGGATGACCTTGAAAATCAGCAGTTTTTGAGATACAGAACAAAACATGGTATTTTTTAAATTATAAGAAGCACTTTTAAACCATTATATGGATAGTATGTGACAAAGAAATCTTTTGTAATAGGTTACATTTTCTTAAACCTAATGATGTTCCAGATATCAGCCAGTTTTTTTCTAAAAATCTGATTTCTCTTTTCCTGAAGCATTCTCTGTGGGGAACTAAGTTTATTAGATTTTGCTCTTTATCTCAGCATATCAGATAGTTGAACAAGTAAACTTTGAATAATGACTTGTTACTTTTTCAAAAGCACGAAGGAGTGTTGTCAATTTTGTGTATTTAATTGTTTCCTCTGTTTTCATGAAAATGAGTTATTGAAGTGAAGAAGCATTGATATGCTAATGGCTTTAGGCACATGTCACCAAAATTATTCACAGGAAACAAATCTTCATGCCAGATGACACCCAGAATGAGCACATTTTTTCTGAGATGTGTTTCAAACATTAGCTGAAATAGTTAGTAGTAGTGGAAAATGTACCTTATAAATGTGACCTTATAATTTAAAAAAACCCTATTTTGTTCTGTATCCCAGAAATTATTGATTTTTACATTCATAATTGTCCCCTTGTCTGTTCTACAAACTTTGTTAACAGTCTCTTTCTGAGAAAAATCTACTGAGTAGAAATATCAATGAATCATCCTATATATAACAGCTGAAAAAGTAAAAATATGAAGACTTATTAAAGTATTGTCATTATTAATTAATGTACAGGGCATCCACTTAAACATCTATCCAAGGACAAAAGATATCTTTCCACATTGAACAGTTATTTGCATGTGGTGCAGTTGGTTTATAAATAGGATCTATTTATAAACAAGATTCTCCAAGACTGCTTTATTTCCCCTAAACATCATTTGAGCAATGGAAATATTCTGAACCCCCATGATTGCCACCCTTAAGTAACAAACAAAATATACAACCCATATAAAAATCAGAAGAAAAAATAAAAAAGTTATTTATAAATACATAGATTTTTTACAAAAAGATTTAAATGAACACAAATTAAATGTAATAAATGACAAAATTATGCACATTCATATTATGATAAAAGAATGATGTGAAACATTAACCTAAAATTAGGAGGATGCAAACAAGATAAATTTCAAATTACATGAGTAGAAACAAGAACAATAATAAATATTAACAATAATATATGTAACTATAATGCATCATTTTTAAATCATCCCTTAGTTTTCATAGGATGAAAATAATTATTTATGTATAAAACAAATATTTTATAAAAAGTGATGTATTAATAATTAACATATGAAAACAGAAAAATTATGAATAACATTTTGTCTCAAATAAGATTTAATTCAAATTATTGCTAATTGAATGTAATAATGTCTATTATGTTTGAGGCATATCATTCCTAAATGCATCTTATCCACTTTCACTTAATTTTCAGTATTCAACAAAATCTTTCAAAGCTTGAAATTTGACAATGCAACATTGGTTTATAAATCAACATGTAGAATGGACATAATGTCACTATAAGCCAATGGGATTATAATTTCTACAAAGAATTGGGAAGATGTTAAAGTTTATAAGATGGATAAAACAAGTTGGATTACTTGAAAATACTTTCAAGTATGGATAAGACACAATCTGAAATGTCATTCAATTTTCTACAGTAAATTTTTATGCTATAAGCTTGTTTTTAAAAATGAAAACATTTTATGACAATAGTGACAGTGTCATAGTTAGGGTCATTGGTGCCCAAGACAAGATTCTGATTTTGTTCCCTCAAAAATTCTCTGCAAGATATATTGAAATAGCCTTACACTATTATTGTGTCAAGTTAGCAACAGCACCTAATGTTCATTATCATTTAACACACTCTCACAATGGGCAGCAAATTTAATCTGCAGCTTTTTATTATTTACTAATAAAATTCTTTATTCAATAATAAGAATTGTATCGTGGATTTTGCCCTCTGGATGTGCACCCCTGGTGTATATCCATTTTGCCAGACCCTAGCTATGCTAACAATAATTCTTTACATTAATAATTAGATAGCATAGATCAGCATTCTTCAACCTTTTCACACCTGCAGACTGGCAAAAATAGGAATAGTATTTTGTAGACTGCACTGCTAAGGGAAACAGTCCAATCACAACTGCTTTCATTAACGTGCATGCATTACTTACGTTAATTGTTACATTGTTAAAATATGCAAGGATAAAATATTATTTACCCAAATTTTGGGAAATATCACAGATTAAGTAATTAAACATTGTTCTAAACTTCCTCTATTTTTCTTTTCTATATTTTAAGTTGACTTAAATTAGGTTAAAACTGAGATTATGGTATGTATATGATTTATTAGAATTCCAATTTAAAAAAATTATAATCAGTTTTTTAGCTAAAAAACGTAGTAATGAGGGAAAAAAATTCCTCATATTAAACCACATTTAAGAAATCCTATAACCTTAAGACAGAAATAAAAACTTTATATTAATTAAAAGTTTAAAATATTATTTTGTTATTACAAAATTTCCTGCCAGTCTACAAAATTTTTTATGGACTAACAGCAAATTTCCATACACCTGTCCATGAACCCAAGGTTGAAGAATACTGGCATATATGATACAAGAATTTTTAAAAACAGATAAGACACAGTTTGAAATCATGTGTCTTATTTGTGAATTATAATAAAGATTCTGAATTTAACTAATTTACTATGTTTTCATAATACATAAATTACAGAAATAACATAACTACTTACATGGCTTACTTAAATAACCAAATTTATACATGGTTTCCATAAAAACAACATCACTAAATATGGAGCGATCTAGTACTACTCCTTGACCTGCATAACATCAAAAAATTTTTTCGTCAAAAAGTTGAAAAAAAATATATATACACATATAATATTGTTAATGTAAATCAAATAATATAAGTTCTATTAAATATTAACACTGTTCAATGTTCAAGTAAAATTATTATCCAAACATTATATTCTAAATATGGATACATTTTCTACTTATATAAATTATAAGATTAAAATAAATTGAGTTAATTAACTTCATAAAAAGTTATTTAGATTATAAAGTATTAAAAATGAAATTAATATTTCTAAATCATTAATACTAAACTAATTTATTGAATTAAAACAATAACTTATTGCATTTAAAATTTTTTGTTCTATCAATGTGATATTAAAATATGAAAATGCAATTAATAGCATAAAAATGTTGACTTTAATAAGCATTTTGAAACATTTTGTTTGTAAAAATCAACAAATAACCAGTAAAAATAAATATTAGTTTAAAAAATGGTAAAACATGATAAATCTGAGATTTACACATTAATTTTTAAAAATTAAAATATGAATATTTTGGCATGCAATCAAAAAAACCTACCTAATCTAGAATATTACACATTGTGATTTTTTTAAGAGCTTCTGTAACTTGATTATTCTACCTATTCTGATTGAAAAACTAAGATTTATGTAAGCAATTTCTTTATATGAGATAACGTCACAAATATTTGATATAATTAATTTTTTTAATAAACAGTAAGTTTTTTTATAAAAAGTGATAGTTAATACAAAAAATTAACAACAAAAAAAAAATAAATAAAATAAATCTGTTTCCTTCTAATATGTTTCTTTGAAGATATGATAGCATGTTATAAAGAAAAGAAAAGCAATACAGTAGAATCCCAGAAACTCAACATTCTGTAAAACTCATTCAGCCGATTGCAGAGACAGAGTTTATGTTAAATGACATTTATCAACGGAACGGCTTATAGATGTTGGCTTGCTGAACCGCGGTTTAAAATGCGCTGCGAAGACATTTGTCTATTTCTGAACACCCTCTAAACGAATTTTGGCTAAACACTGGCTCTTACTTACTTCACTATTACTCCCATTTTAGGAGTTGTTCGGCCAATTGGGTTATTTGTTTGTGATGTCAGAAATGGTTGCCAGCTATATTCCGAAAGCTTCCAGAAATAAAATCTAAAGGCCATCAAAAGCATTGTTCAGCAATTATTGACAATCTTTTTCCATTTCGATATTTAATTTTGTCACCAATATTGTTTAAAATATGAACAAATCCATATTTAGAAAATTTATACTGAATTCGGAATAGATTTTTAAGGAATTATTTTGACATCTTATTACTGTCGAAATGAATAATTTTAAATATTTTATTATTAATATTACATTTTTTTTAATATCTATAAACAGATTTCTGTAATTATTAAAATTGTCTCATTTGTTTAACAGTACAATGACTCCAAAATGCATTAATATTTTATAACCGACACGATACTCGAATTGTAAATAAATGCATCTGATTTAAATTAATTGAAGTTTTAAGTCTTCTCCCATTTGAATATCGAAATTGGAACATTTAAACAAATTTAAAGTATTTAATTTTGTTGTTTTTGCTCCAAGCAATTAATTAACGAATAATTTTGTCGATTCATACCGTTTACAACATTTATCAAAGGAACGATATCTGTTTTTATCTAAACTTTTCCACAAACAAAGCTACCACTCGAATTGAAAAGCCCTCTAAACCTGCTGTCGAGTGAGTCTAGAAAATAGGTCAAATAACTTGTTTCTAATTGCTGTCTACATTGTGGCAGGCATCTCTGCAATGAAATTTTTCTGAACAGCAGTCTACCCGATCTGTAAACCGTTGTCGGCCTCTAAACGTTGTCTCTGCAATCAACTGATTGTCATCTAAAAAAAGAAAATACTTGTGATCTAATTTTTACTTCTATAAAATTTAACATTAGGATTAAATAAGTTATTTTTCTTTAATGGCAACACTTGATAATAGCATCAATTCCATATGTTAACAAAAGATATACAGTAGAACAACATCAATTATCCGAATACTGATCAACCAAAACATTGGTTAACACATTCAGTCAACCAAAGAATTGGTTAACCGAAAGCGTTCCAGTCAGCAAATTTAAATTTCCATTAGTGCTGTGGTGCTGCAATATTTGGCTATGTCTTGGGCTACTCCAATATTATTTTTGTTGGTGTGTGTGTTTTAGATGGCAGCACTGGCGCGACCATGAGAGGGCACTTAAGGACGTGCCAGGATTTGAATGAATTTCAACACGGGATAGGTTAATATATTTTTTCGTACATAATCAGTTATCCAAACAACCCCAGTCCCGAATTGTTTAGAATAACTGATGCGCTACTGTAACTTTTTTTCCAAGATACCACTGCAAAATGCTACAATGCAAATGTCATTAATTCAAAAGTAATAATAAATGACACTTTTAGCCCACGACTATAAATTAGATAGAGTTAGTTAACCTAATAAATAGGATTTAACAATTTGGAAGGCTTATCACACAGAGGCCAACTTCAAATGTTAAATCCTATTTATTAGGTTATCTAACTGTGTCTAATTCAAAAGTAGACACTGAATAGTCAATATTTATTTAAATTAAAATTTAATTACAAATATTCATTATTTGTACATAGTTAATACATATATGAATTTGCACATATAATTCCTTTATGAAAATTCCACTATCTAGAATATCATCATCACTATCTGCAAATATCATCATTTTTGATAATTTGTCACCTTCTCAGTCCACATTAAGTCAAGTTTGAGGGACTCTACTGTAGTGCATTTTCATAGGTATAAAATTGCATTGGCAAATGATCTCTTAATATACTTATTTTTTATCATTATTTTCAGTTAATTATATCAACAGACTGACAGAAGTGTTTAAAGAAATGGAAAATGAAACTGCTAAGTGAAGTTGCACAAAATAACTATCAAATTGGCATCTCTGCAGAATATTTACTCCATGAAAATGAAGACACTTATTTTTACAATAAATGTTTTGGCAAGTCAGTTGCTCATTGAACTCTACATGCTATATATTAGGTAAACTGTCAAAATCTAAATTTCAATGCATCTCATTAAAGTATCACATTTCTATCATATTCTTTTGTATCAATCCCAGCTGGCATTTTGTCATTCTAATTATTCAATCTCTTTTTTAAAAGATTGACAGAATAATAAATATTTACATTTTGTTTATTTGAATAAAACAAGCTAATTAAAGACAACAGAAATGTGAAATTTAAGAAAGTGATTGTGCATATCCCAAAAATAAATGGTGTATTGGCCAAAATCTGTAATTAAATGATTTATTAAATACTAAAATGCTGTCAATCCTGATATAAGAGAAAATGTCAATATCACTTTCTCAAAAAAAAATTAATTTATATTTTTAATGTTAAAAATTTATTATGCTTTTAATACTTCTTGTATTTCATATATTTATAAGTTCTTATTTATTTTGAATTAAGATTACATTTTTTTTTTGTTTTAAATTTGAATTAAAAATATGTTTCAATTTAAATTTGGAAAAAAAAGGATAACTTGCCAATGATTTTCCTTTTTTTTTTAATTCTGTATATATATATATTTTAAATATTAATTCTTGTGTTTTTATCATTGTTAAAAAACTGTTATAATTCCTAGAGCCCTCTTTAAATTAAAAATTTAAAGTGTGTTCTTTTGAAACATTCTTTATTCTTGGTTTAATTTCAGCAAACTGAAGAAATCTGAAATAAACTGGTCTTTAAATATTTTAATTTTACCATTTTGTTGTTCATTTTGTTTACAACATTGCCTTTGAATGAATTTAAGTTCACTAATTACATAAATTTATGTGAAATCCAAACATTGCATCTATAATGATTTTCCATTTTTCTAAGTCACATAATACTAATTCATAGATGCTTCCATAAGTATCCCCAATAGGAGCATGGATACCCAACTAGTATGATCAAGGACTTTAAAGGAAATTAATACAAAGTTATACAGCCATTAGGAAAGAAAACACGAAACCATACATACGGGGAATCCCATCAGAAAGCATCCACAAACTCGTAATACACGGACTAGATGACGATCTTCCAGAATATAAAAACCAAATGATTTTCCTTTCGTGTTACTATTTTATAGTTAGATTGCAATACAATACTACTTATTTAAAGTAATCACAAAAAAATAAATATTTATTCTATTTTTGAATGCATTAAACATCGAAATATCCAAATTTTGAAATTTTCTTAGTAAACAAACGGAACCAACGCCGGCCGTACAAATGCCAAAAATTTTCTACGACAATAAACTCTTCTCCGTTCCGTTTGCCTTAAACGACAATACTCCGCATCCTCACTCGACAATACACGTGCATTTTGATATTTTAGTCATTTTTTAGTTTAGTAAGTAGCGCACGGAGACAATTGAGCCGACTTTCTTTATAAAGGTATTTTAACTTGTAGATTAATATCTAAAAAATAACGATGATCTTAACAGATATACTTGCCAGTATTGAGTAAATGAGCCATAGCATCCAGATACTGTTCAAATCTCAGGGCATACATAGAAATCTGAAACTTGGCAACATTACTATTAGTAGGATCTTCGTAGAATTTCTTAACATCAAAACTTCTGCAACGAGGAGGTAATTTATCATCTAATTGTCTTAGGTCGTAGCCGTATTTGTTAATATAAAGACGGTCCATGGTCGGTTCTGGAAAGTATTTCATATCGAGTTCATCAGCGAGAGAGGAAGCAAATGTCGACTTTCCAGCTGCAATGGGACCGTCTACAACGATTATTTTAGTATTTTCATCGAATCTATCCATTGTATTATCAATCCAACCGTGCCAAAACTTATATTTTTTCGTCTCGTACGGCCAAGGTTTAGGTCTAACATAATTAATATCTCTCATCTGTTTGCTACATATAGAACGTTTAGCGATAGAAATAAATGCTAATTGGGTGTTTCGTAACTTTATATTATTTGCTAGGCCGGCAAAGCGACCTATTATCATCTTAAAATTGGACATTTCCCACCTTCACACTCGATTTCCACGGATTACTTTTGATCTTGAAGAAGCGCCACCTGAAAGTTTTTAATCTGTAACAAATTTTTAAAACGTATTAATATATTTTTCTAAAGATTGTAATAAACGTATTTTAAAGTTGTATTATAATAATAATAATAATCTAATTTTTTATTTTTTAATTAAAATTTATTGGTGAACGATTGAAGAATTTATTTTTCTCGAATTTTGATTCCGTGTTTTATAACTGTTCTGGCGCATTTTTAACGCCCATTATGGATTCGATAAGTCCCACAACGAGAGAGGCGGGATGATAAGACATGTGGCCCGGCGTTTACGGATTAAACCACTTATAAAAATTTGAGGCTCTGCCGTCGACGCAAAAGCGGATCTCTCAAAATGACAGACTGGTACTGTACTTTTAAAACGTCATTTATTCGGACGGCCAAGCGGTTAAGGTGGCAGCCTACAGCTCTGGCGGACCCGAGATCGAATCCGGACGGGTCGAAAAATCCCCAGGAATTTTTCGGGGGTGATCCGTTCGGATATGTCGGCCCCGTCCCTCACCACCCGGTCGCTCCATTGTGGGGCTTGCTAATAGAGTTCTTCTTAGTGCCCACAGAGTGACGAGTTAAAAAAAAAAAGTCATTTATTCGAGCGTCTAACGTCCCTCCCACTATTAGAACTTATTTCCTCAATTCAAGCGTTCCCAGATTGCGCAGATTTGCTATAAAGTACCCTAAAATTTCGTAGATACAGTAGAACCTCGAAAACTCGACCTAATGTGGACCGAAGGGTGGCCGAGTTATCGGGAATGGGGTTAAAAAAAATAAGTACGAGTATTTCCTCAGAAAATACTGTACTGTACTTGTACAGTATTTACTCGTACAGAATATAACAGAGAATAAACTGCCCAAATACCCTTAAACAAAGGAAAAGTACGTCCTTTATGAAGGCATAGAGCCTTTACTACATGAAAATGAAAATTAATGAATAACACTGTGTACAGTAATTTACCTGATAAGACAGACCTCAGAAAAATACTTTGAGAGCTTTTATACTTTTATAAAGCTGTCTATAATGAAAATTAATTAACTAAGGATTTTTTCGCCCTGCCAAGGTGTGGACCAGTTATCCGGAGTGATAAGTTATCGAGGGACGAGTTTTCGAGGTTCTACTGTACTATAAACGCGAATTTTTAATTGTTTCTAGATAACAAATAGCTATTTGCATAATTTCAATGCTGTTACATTTTTCTCTCTTGATGCGAATTTAATGAAAACCGTAGTTATTATTCTGTACAATGAATGCAATGACGTCACTGGTAACTTAACCTTTTCACTGTTAAAAGTATACTAGTTATTTTGTTAAATATAATAAAACAACAAAACATATTTTAGAAAGTCACATTCAATTTAAAGCAAATAAACTCATAAACTGAGAAGAGTGGCTGTAAAAGAGTAGCAGCTGAACTTCTGAGCTGCTATTCTTTTACAGCCACTCCTCAGTTTATGAAACATTGTTTGCTTGAGCTAAGATCATAAAATGACTCATCAGTGAGCTGCAACTTAGTTGCAGCTCACTGATGAGTCACTTTATGATCTTATGATGCATTTTATGTCAAAGTCATGACCAAGACTCAAAAATTGAAAAACTTTGTACTGCCCTTTTTATCATCATTATTCAAATTTATTAAATAAAATAGAACTGCCACTGTATCTTCATTGCTTAGCTATGGTGGTGGAATAGTGCACATTGAAAATCCAGCACATTCCTAAATCTTGAATGCATACAAGGTCTGTTCAAAAAGTATCGGACCTTATTTTTTTCCGCGTAAACCAATGATGCGAGAGAGGCCTCCTTCGGTGGAGTTGTGGAGGGGACAGTNTTAAAATATTATTTTGTTATTACAAAATTTCCTGCCAGTCTACAAAATTTTTTATGGACTAACAGCAAATTTCCATACACCTGTCCATGAACCCAAGGTTGAAGAATACTGGCATATATGATACAAGAATTTTTAAAAACAGATAAGACACAGTTTGAAATCATGTGTCTTATTTGTGAATTATAATAAAGATTCTGAATTTAACTAATTTACTATGTTTTCATAATACATAAATTACAGAAATAACATAACTACTTACATGGCTTACTTAAATAACCAAATTTATACATGGTTTCCATAAAAACAACATCACTAAATATGGAGCGATCTAGTACTACTCCTTGACCTGCATAACATCAAAAAATTTTTTCGTCAAAAAGTTGAAAAAAAATATATATACACATATAATATTGTTAATGTAAATCAAATAATATAAGTTTTATTAAATATTAACACTGTTCAATGTTCAAGTAAAATTATTATCCAAACATTATATTCTAAATATGGATACATTTTCTACTTATATAAATTATAAGATTAAAATAAATTGAGTTAATTAACTTCATAAAAAGTTATTTAGATTATTAAATATAAAAAATTAAATTAATATTTCTAACAGCTGAAAAAGTAAAAATATGAAGACTTATTAAAGTATTGTCATTATTAATTAATGTACAGGGCATCCACTTAAACATCTATCCAAGGACAAAAGATATCTTTCCACATTGAACAGTTATTTGCATGTGGTGCAGTTGGTTTATAAATAGGATCTATTTATAAACAAGATTCTCCAAGACTGCTTTATTTCCCCTAAACATCATTTGAGCAATGGAAATATTCTGAACCCCCATGATTGCCACCCTTAAGTAACAAACAAAATATACAACCCATATAAAAATCAGAAGAAAAAATAAAAAAGTTATTTATAAATACATAGATTTTTTACAAAAAGATTTAAATGAACACAAATTAAATGTAATAAATGACAAAATTATGCACATTCATATTATGATAAAAGAATGATGTGAAACATTAACCTAAAATTAGGAGGATGCAAACAAGATAAATTTCAAATTACATGAGTAGAAACAAGAACAATAATAAATATTAACAATAATATATGTAACTATAATGCATCATTTTTAAATCATCCCTTAGTTTTCATAGGATGAAAATAATTATTTATGTATAAAACAAATATTTTATAAAAAGTGATGTATTAATAATTAACATATGAAAACAGAAAAATTATGAATAACATTTTGTCTCAAATAAGATTTAATTCAAATTATTGCTAATTGAATGTAATAATGTCTATTATGTTTGAGGCATATCATTCCTAAATGCATCTTATCCACTTTCACTTAATTTTCAGTATTCAACAAAATCTTTCAAAGCTTGAAATTTGACAATGCAACATTGGTTTATAAATCAACATGTAGAATGGACATAATGTCACTATAAGCCAATGGGATTATAATTTCTACAAAGAATTGGGAAGATGTTAAAGTTTATAAGATGGATAAAACAAGTTGGATTACTTGAAAATACTTTCAAGTATGGATAAGACACAATCTGAAATGTCATTCAATTTTCTACAGTAAATTTTTATGCTATAAGCTTGTTTTTAAAAATGAAAACATTTTATGACAATAGTGACAGTGTCATAGTTAGGGTCATTGGTGCCCAANTGACTCCAAAATGCATTAATATTTTATAACCGACACGATACTCGAATTGTAAATAAATGCATCTGATTTAAATTAATTGAAGTTTTAAGTCTTCTCCCATTTGAATATCGAAATTGGAACATTTAAACAAATTTAAAGTATTTAATTTTGTTGTTTTTGCTCCAAGCAATTAATTAACGAATAATTTTGTCGATTCATACCGTTTACAACATTTATCAAAGGAACGATATCTGTTTTTATCTAAACTTTTCCACAAACAAAGCTACCACTCGAATTGAAAAGCCCTCTAAACCTGCTGTCGAGTGAGTCTAGAAAATAGGTCAAATAACTTGTTTCTAATCGCTGTCTACATTGTGGCAGGTGAGAAACACCATCTCTGCAATGAAATTTTTCTGAACAGCAGTCTACCCGATCTGTAAACCGTTGTCGGCCTCTAAACGTTGTCTCTGCAATCAACTGATTGTCATCTAAAAAAAGAAAATACTTGTGATCTAATTTTTACTTCTATAAAATTTAACATTAGGATTAAATAAGTTATTTTTCTTTAATGGCAACACTTGATAATAGCATCAATTCCATATGTTAACAAAAGATATACAGTAGAACAACATCAATTATCCGAATACTGATCAACCAAAACATTGGTTAACGCATTCAGTCAACCAAAGAATTGGTTAACCGAAAGCGTTCCAGTCAGCAAATTTAAATTTCCATTAGTGCTGTGGTGCTGCAATATTTGGCTATGTCTTGGGCTACTCCAATATTATTTTTGTTGGTGTGTGTGTTTTAGATGGCAGCACTGGCGCGACCATGAGAGGGCACTTAAGGACGTGCCAGGATTTGAATGAATTTCAACACGGGATAGGTTAATATATTTTTTCGTACATAATCAGTTATCCAAACAACCCCAGTCCCGAATTGTTTAGAATAACTGATGCGCTACTGTAACTTTTTTTCCAAGATACCACTGCAAAATGCTACAATGCAAATGTCATTAATTCAAAAGTAATAATAAATGACACTTTTAGCCCACGACTATAAATTAGATAGAGTTAGTTAACCTAATAAATAGGATTTAACAATTTGGAAGGCTTATCACACAGAGGCCAACTTCAAATGTTAAATCCTATTTATTAGGTTATCTAACTGTGTCTAATTCAAAAGTAGACACTGAATAGTCAATATTTATTTAAATTAAAATTTAATTACAAATATTCATTATTTGTACATAGTTAATACATATATGAATTTGCACATATAATTCCTTTATGAAAATTCCACTATCTAGAATATCATCATCACTATCTGCAAATATCATCATTTTTGATAATTTGTCACCTTCTCAGTCCACATTAAGTCAAGTTTGAGGGACTCTACTGTAGTGCATTTTCATAGGTATAAAATTGCATTGGCAAATGATCTCTTAATATACTTATTTTTTATCATTATTTTCAGTTAATTATATCAACAGACTGACAGAAGTGTTTAAAGAAATGGAAAATGAAACTGCTAAGTGAAGTTGCACAAAATAACTATCAAATTGGCATCTCTGCAGAATATTTACTCCATGAAAATGAAGACACTTATTTTTACAATAAATGTTTTGGCAAGTCAGTTGCTCATTGAACTCTACATGCTATATATTAGGTAAACTGTCAAAATCTAAATTTCAATGCATCTCATTAAAGTATCACATTTCTATCATATTCTTTTGTATCAATCCCAGCTGGCATTTTGTCATTCTAATTATTCAATCTCTTTTTTAAAAGATTGACAGAATAATAAATATTTACATTTTGTTTATTTGAATAAAACAAGCTAATTAAAGACAACAGAAATGTGAAATTTAAGAAAGTGATTGTGCATATCCCAAAAATAAATGGTGTATTGGCCAAAATCTGTAATTAAATGATTTATTAAATACTAAAATGCTGTCAATCCTGATATAAGAGAAAATGTCAATATCACTTTCTCAAAAAAAAATTAATTTATATTTTTAATGTTAAAAATTTATTATGCTTTTAATACTTCTTGTATTTCATATATTTATAAGTTCTTATTTATTTTGAATTAAGATTACATTTTTTTTTTGTTTTAAATTTGAATTAAAAATATGTTTCAATTTAAATTTGGAAAAAAAAGGATAACTTGCCAATGATTTTCCTTTTTTTTTTAATTCTGTATATATATATATTTTAAATATTAATTCTTGTGTTTTTATCATTGTTAAAAAACTGTTATAATTCCTAGAGCCCTCTTTAAATTAAAAATTTAAAGTGTGTTCTTTTGAAACATTCTTTATTCTTGGTTTAATTTCAGCAAACTGAAGAAATCTGAAATAAACTGGTCTTTAAATATTTTAATTTTACCATTTTGTTGTTCATTTTGTTTACAACATTGCCTTTGAATGAATTTAAGTTCACTAATTACATAAATTTATGTGAAATCCAAACATTGCATCTATAATGATTTTCCATTTTTCTAAGTCACATAATACTAATTCATAGATGCTTCCATAAGTATCCCCAATAGGAGCATGGATACCCAACTAGTATGATCAAGGACTTTAAAGGAAATTAATACAAAGTTATACAGCCATTAGGAAAGAAAACACGAAACCATACATACGGGGAATCCCATCAGAAAGCATCCACAAACTCGTAATACACGGACTAGATGACGATCTTCCAGAATATAAAAACCAAATGATTTTCCTTTCGTGTTACTATTTTATAGTTAGATTGCAATACAATACTACTTATTTAAAGTAATCACAAAAAAATAAATATTTATTCTATTTTTGAATGCATTAAACATCGAAATATCCAAATTTTGAAATTTTCTTAGTAAACAAACGGAACCAACGCCGGCCGTACAAATGCCAAAAATTTTCTACGACAATAAACTCTTCTCCGTTCCGTTTGCCTTAAACGACAATACTCCGCATCCTCACTCGACAATACACGTGCATTTTGATATTTTAGTCATTTTTTAGTTTAGTAAGTAGCGCACGGAGACAATTGAGCCGACTTTCTTTATAAAGGTATTTTAACTTGTAGATTAATATCTAAAAAATAACGATGATCTTAACAGATATACTTGCCAGTATTGAGTAAATGAGCCATAGCATCCAGATACTGTTCAAATCTCAGGGCATACATAGAAATCTGAAACTTGGCAACATTACTATTAGTAGGATCTTCGTAGAATTTCTTAACATCAAAACTTCTGCAACGAGGAGGTAATTTATCATCTAATTGTCTTAGGTCGTAGCCGTATTTGTTAATATAAAGACGGTCCATGGTCGGTTCTGGAAAGTATTTCATATCGAGTTCATCAGCGAGAGAGGAAGCAAATGTCGACTTTCCAGCTGCAATGGGACCGTCTACAACGATTATTTTAGTATTTTCATCGAATCTATCCATTGTATTATCAATCCAACCGTGCCAAAACTTATATTTTTTCGTCTCGTACGGCCAAGGTTTAGGTCTAACATAATTAATATCTCTCATCTGTTTGCTACATATAGAACGTTTAGCGATAGAAATAAATGCTAATTGGGTGTTTCGTAACTTTATATTATTTGCTAGGCCGGCAAAGCGACCTATTATCATCTTAAAATTGGACATTTCCCACCTTCACACTCGATTTCCACGGATTACTTTTGATCTTGAAGAAGCGCCACCTGAAAGTTTTTAATCTGTAACAAATTTTTAAAACGTATTAATATATTTTTCTAAAGATTGTAATAAACGTATTTTAAAGTTGTATTATAATAATAATAATAATCTAATTTTTTATTTTTTAATTAAAATTTATTGGTGAACGATTGAAGAATTTATTTTTCTCGAATTTTGATTCCGTGTTTTATAACTGTTCTGGCGCATTTTTAACGCCCATTATGGATTCGATAAGTCCCACAACGAGAGAGGCGGGATGATAAGACATGTGGCCCGGCGTTTACGGATTAAACCACTTATAAAAATTTGAGGCTCTGCCGTCGACGCAAAAGCGGATCTCTCAAAATGACAGACTGGTACTGTACTTTTAAAACGTCATTTATTCGGACGGCCAAGCGGTTAAGGTGGCAGCCTACAGCTCTGGCGGACCCGAGATCGAATCCGGACGGGTCGAAAAATCCCCAGGAATTTTTCGGGGGTGATCCGTTCGGATATGTCGGCCCCGTCCCTCACCACCCGGTCGCTCCATTGTGGGGCTTGCTAATAGAGTTCTTCTTAGTGCCCACAGAGTGACGAGTTAAAAAAAAAAAGTCATTTATTCGAGCGTCTAACGTCCCTCCCACTATTAGAACTTATTTCCTCAATTCAAGCGTTCCCAGATTGCGCAGATTTGCTATAAAGTACCCTAAAATTTCGTAGATACAGTAGAACCTCGAAAACTCGACCTAATGTGGACCGAAGGGTGGCCGAGTTATCGGGAATGGGGTTAAAAAAAATAAGTACGAGTATTTCCTCAGAAAATACTGTACTGTACTTGTACAGTATTTACTCGTACAGAATATAACAGAGAATAAACTGCCCAAATACCCTTAAACAAAGGAAAAGTACGTCCTTTATGAAGGCATAGAGCCTTTACTACATGAAAATGAAAATTAATGAATAACACTGTGTACAGTAATTTACCTGATAAGACAGACCTCAGAAAAATACTTTGAGAGCTTTTATACTTTTATAAAGCTGTCTATAATGAAAATTAATTAACTAAGGATTTTTTCGCCCTGCCAAGGTGTGGACCAGTTATCCGGAGTGCTAAGTTATCGAGGGACGAGTTTTCGAGGTTCTACTGTATTATCATTTTTGAAAGCAGAAAATTTCTTAGTATAATTATTAAAAATAACGGATTTATAGCTCGAGTATTTAAGGCAATCATTTGACTATGTATCTATACATTATGAGGCTTCAGGTTTAATATACAAAATATATTTAAGGTGTGTTTCAAATTTATACGGACACGAAAAAATTAAAGTGAAACCCAAATTTGCTGCATTAAGTGACAAATGTTTTATTAAAAATAGCATGGATTTACTTGTTTCCACACTGCAAAATAAGAATTTTAATCAAGCATTAACATTTTGTCACTGAAAATAATATTTTTGAAAATTTTGTACAAAAAAACTGTTACATATTTATCCGGACAGGCACTTATTTCATGAATTAAATAGAATATTGTTTAGTTTCAAGCATTGAAATATACAAATCAGCTTACATATCTAATTGTAATACAAATTCTTTATGTTGTTCAACGTTCTAAAATGGGTAGAACAAAGAATTTATCTGATTATGAAAAAGAGCAGATTGATGCCTATAAATCACAAGGCAAGTCAATAAGAGAAATTG